AGCTGGCCCAAATCGGTCATCGAGCCAAACCATCACCTCCTTTAGGTTGGTATAGAAGTGAGCCTTCCTTTCATGAATAATATGCAGCTTAGCTGGAAAAAGCGTAGCATATTGTAGGCCATGGGTTGTGGGGTGATCCTTCACAGCAGCATAAGAAGAGCGTTGTCGCTACACTTACGCAGAAAAATCAGGATAGATATAGATAGCACTGCCTGTTTATCAAAGTGTTCCTTTCTCTCTAGCAAGGCGAAGAATAGTAATTTTGTCTTGAAAATTAAGAATCCATGCAATCATGGAGTGTGCAGGGGAGCCAGAAGGGGGTGGGCACGGTGGAGTGCGATGGGCCCACTTAATTGCAAAGGTGGAGGGCAATGCTTCGGCTCTGCAGGTGTCCCATAGCCATGAAGAGAGGAATTGTTCAGGAGATAATCTCTCAGAGAATTAAGGGAATCCCACAAATTGCAGGTTGTTCCTGCGGGAATTATTTTCCAGATCATCTAATTTAGCTTTAAGGGCCGTCATTTCATCTGAGGTGGCCAGGGCATAAAAAGTATCTTCCAAAGAGCTAATGCGGTCCTAAGCCACCCCAGTTCTCTCCCTCAGGTTCTGTACATCTGCTTTCAATAAAGGAGAAACCGACATAGATGGTTTCTATTTGCATGGTCAGTGTAGCCTTGCAATCTTGTATGGCCTGCACAATCTGAGACAGTGAAGGTTCTGCAGGCTGCGGGTCAGAGTCCACTTCAATATCAGTGTCAGGGGGGAGCTCAAAAGGAGGAGAGGAGGCTGCATGCAGGGCACAGAATTCAGGAGGAAAGGCACTCACCGATCTGGTAGAATCAGTCTGGGAGAGGGCAGGAGGTGGCAGAGTTAGAGGAGCCGGTGCCATCTTGCCTATGGAAGGGGGCCAGTTTTTCTTCCACCGAAGGGGCTGTAGTTTGCCCTATTTCCACCATGGCTATGCCCCAGAAAGGTGCTTACCGTCAGGAGAAGTACTGCTGTGTGCTTTGTGCGAGGATTCAGTACAGGATGTCTGAAGGATGACAAAGGAGAGCCAAAGCTGCCAGAGTTAAGCTGCCACTCGGTCCACCATGAAGCCACTCCCCCGAAGTGGCCTTTCTTGCTTTCAGCAAGGTAGGAATCACAGACTCAGAAATTCTTCTCTCCTATAACACCTAGGTTTCAACAGCCATGCCTATACAGCCAGAGAAAGTGAAGCAGAGTGGAATACAGCGCTTTGAGACAGGTGATCTGGCCTGCTGGGAAAAGGACAGGGATCGTCTGCTAGAAGTCTAAGAATGTCTGTGTACCAACATCTTTTGGGCCAGTTTGAAGCCAGTAGAATCACCAGCTGCCCCCCTCTTGCTCTATTTTCTGGAGCAGCCGAGGTAGAATTAACAGTAGTGGGAAGGCATAAATTAGCCTGACTGAGACCAGGGGATAACTAGAGCATCCAAGGCCAGAGCTGAACAAGATCTAATTCTGGCATCAGAGGTAACTAGCATTTGGAGGCCAGGATGCCCACATCTTAAGTCCTCCACCTTTGGCATATCAGGCTGAATACACCTGGATTAAGAGGCTGAAGGTTCTGGAAAGTTGAATTGTCTTTATAAACTATTGAATTTCTTCCATAGGGTTTTTTTACAGCAATAGAAAATTTGTTTTACCCTCTACAAGTGTCCTTTCCCTTCAGTATAAATATATTAAGCATTACATTATGGATTTTTTTAATATTATACACTCACTATACTTTAATTTTGGAGCATTGTTAAGGGTTTTTGTGGCTGCAATAGTCTAGAGATTATGTCAAATTGGGGTAAACTTAACTTATACCTATTTCATTGATTATCTGTATTAGAGTTCTTTACAATTTGGCGGTATTGGTACAACTCCTCCCTGGGAAATTAGATGGTTCGGGACATTTTGTAAATCTGATTGTCCTTGGACAGATTTTGGTTCATTTGAAAGAAGAAAGCGGTTGGTAAGGCTTTGAAACTCTATCTTGTACTCTTTTGAAGACACTGATTAAGGTCTAAGACATCAGTGACCCACAGAGAAGCAAACTAACAACCCCCCCCCCCCCCCCCCCTTTAGGAGTGAAGGTGCACCTACATTGTGAAGAGGGCTATGGAGAAGGCTTTTTTCCCTTTTTGGGTCAAGTCTTGTGCCGAAAGGAAAGGATGAACTTTTGAAGCTGAAGCCTGGTTCAAGTCTGTAAGGTCTGAGCAACTTGAGAAGCCAGGGGCTCCTGAGAAAGGTAGTATTGGTGCCTTCTTTAGAGGAAGTAAAACTTTCCCACCTGTGACCTCTTTGATGAATTGGCCAATTGCCTCAACAAACAGGCATCTTCCTTGGAAGGGCATACATGTGAGGAGCCTTTTACAGGCAGCTTCCGCTGTCCAAGCCTTTGGCCATAATATTCAGCACATATGAATGGAGATTAGAGCCATTCTGGATGATTGTCTCATGATGTGTTCCAGGGCATCTACAAAACAGAAGAGCAGAAGGCAATTGTTGTAATTGTTCTGTAGCAGCATGATCCTGAAAAAATGGATCATGTTGGGTGTTCATTGTCCTAGTCTAGTTAGTTGCAGTTTGGCCTACAGAAATAGCAGTGAGAGCTGGTTGCAGGGCTGGGCCTGCCTGGTTAAAGAAAGCTTTTAAGAGCATTTCAAATTTTCTATCTGCATAATCCTTGAAGGAAGAACATCTTCAATAGGTACTGTGAGATGTTTGTTTAGGACAGAGATGGCAGATCAACCACAGGAATTTCCCACTTTTTTTTTTGCAAACTCTTGTCCATCAGATGGAGTTCCGCAAAGATTTTTTGGGGGAGTGAAAAATCCTTTCAGCAGTGACCCAACTGCCATAGATTGCACATTCTATCTGTTCATGAACAAGGAATGTTTTGAAAGTTTTTGTTGGTCTCTTTGTACCCATATGGGCATGGTGAGATAAGAGTGTCAGGTTACACAATGGCCTAAGCTTTTGCGGACAAAGGTAATGAGCTTTTAAACACTAGCAAGCATACTGCGGGAAGTTCCCTCTTCAACATAGCAACAATGTGGGAGACATCTTCAGCAGCTTCCTCCAACACTGCCTCAATATTGTCCTCATTTCCCTCCAATTCAGTGTCCTCTTGGACTGGCATATATGGGTCCAACTCCAGTTGAGAAACGGGAGTAAAAGAAGAAGAGGTGGGGCGTTTGAGAACTAGACAAATATGGCTGTAATCTGCTCTAGGAAATGTGACATAGATGCAGAAAATTCTGCTTGTTGTGTGCCTGAAAGAGGTAGAATCGGATACTGAAACCAGTGTCAAAACCAGATGCTGCTCCAGTGCAAGGGACAAATGTTGTGCGGGTCTTCGGCAGAGCGAATGTTCACCTGCTGTTTTGAATCGGCTCCCTTTTGTCTGCTCTTCAGTAAAGCTAAAGTGAGGGTCTTTCCCAGTGGGGTACTCACAGAGTGCATTGTGGGGGATAGTGTAAGCGTATATGGAAGGTGAACACGAACCTCAAGGTGAAGACCATCCTGCAATGAATCCTCGTGGTAAAAAGGGGGAGAGGAAGCGCCAGAGTACTACCTGGTCATCCACCTAAGACTGAGCTATGAGTGGTTAAATTTTAGAGCCAAGTTTGAAAAGTTTACACTGTGAAGTGAATGCATTCCAAACATAACCCTGTCTTACAAAGTAAAGATCAGAGATACAGGGTGACTCTGCCTTACCTGTCCATGACACTGGACTGTTTATATGGTACAGGCTTCCCCCCTCACAGAAGGCATACCCCTGAAAGGGTCTTCTGGGACTGGGTTCCACAGGGATGGACTACGGCGCTAGACCTGTATAGCACCCTGCAGCTAATGCAACACATCGCACCAAAGTGCCAAGGGGAACGCCCCATGCAGGATCCAGTGTCTGAAGCAATGTCTCAGGCTGTCCCCAGAGAGGTTCCCAAGGTTCTACCAAGGTTGCACATATCCAGATACAATGCTTCTGTGTAGGCAACAGAAGACAGTGAGGGTTGATTGAAGAATCAGGGGATACAAAAATAAAGAAGAAATTATAAACTAATGAAGCTGACTTCACTGTGAAGGTGTCCATCGCATTCAGACACTAGCAAAAAAAAACTGAAGACTCACAGAGTGGGGCAAGGTTATAGGGGGAGGCACACCGGGGGGTGGGGGGGGGGGGGGGGATTTCCCTCAAAAGCTTGCCAGTGTCTAATCACCTGAAGGTACAAGCCTATAGCCCATGTAGTATTAATAAGTTGCACGTGTCCTGTACCGTACAATTAATTTTTGCATGCACACATTTGAATGATGGAAGCCACTCACTAAGCTCAAGGGGCAAATTCCCTTGCAAAGTGCAACTTCTTTTGAAATTTGTACAGTCTAATTGCCTTTAGACAACCAACCCCACAACCACAATTAAAGACCTCTTATATCATAAAACAATACACAAATGTATATTTGTTGTATGAAAGTTTATTTTGTCCTCAGGAGAACAGCATGATCTCCGGTACTTTATCTTTATCTTATAATCTTAGATTATAAAATGCTCAAGATGCATCTAGAGAGATTTAGCCCTATGAATAAATGTTGTAATGACAGGATATTTACTTCCTACACAGTGTAGGAAAATAACAAAAAGCTAAAAACTGGACTCTACATCATCCATTTAAAGAAACCAGATTCCTCCAAAAAACTTATAAAAAAGTTTTAAAACTTTACTTTAAGTAGGTCTAAAATTAAAACAATACATCTTAGCTTTAACTAAGAATTTTCATAATTTAAAAAAAATGTACTTGCCCTGTATATAAATTACTGCTCCCAAGCTCCCTCATGCAATAATTTTATTGGTATAGCTGTAACTATTCTAGTAGAGAATCAATAATAAGAACAGAGGAGGGAGACACCCACTTATAAGCTACCATATCATACAAAAAGACAGTGCTTCTTTAGAACAATGCATGCATAAAATTTATGAATATACTCACTCTTTTTATGTCATCTAATGTGTGTATTTCTGGGGACAGCCCTCCATGGACACAAAGAAACTGTTGGTTTAAAAGTGCAGCTAAAGGAAGACAATCAAATGCTTCCATACAGGCTTCATACACCCTCTCTGAATATTTTATTTTACCTAAAGAGAAAAGCACACGTCAATATGGAAATTTTTTGCCAAGTTTTTAAAAAAATTATAACAAAAAAAAAAGTGATGTACAATCAGTGAGCATATATTGTTAATCATTGCAGTGCACACCTCTCTAGTTGGTAAAATCAGTTTGCTAGTTCCAAATGACTACATCCTGGGTAAGCTCCCTGCTCATTGGACAAAGGCTATGATTAGCAGGCTGGGGGCAGAAGGTGAAATTCAAAGCTGAATTTGAGCATTGAAATAGGTTTGTCAAATGACTGGCTGCATATTGTGGCAAAGGTGCAAAATTGTGAAACTTGCTTAAAAGACTTACAAATCCTTTGGCAGGTAAAACAGTAAAACATTCATGTATTTCTACTGTGTATTTAGCCATTTGTCCAGGGTTACACTTTGTCTTCAATGGGCCTGAGCCATAGACTTACACTAAATGGTAAAGCACAAAGTCACATTCAATGTAACATTACAAAGTCAGTAAAAGTGACTGAGTACCGTATTTTCCGGCGTATAAGATGACTTTTCAACCCCTGAAAATCTTCTGAAAAGTCGGGGGTCGTCTTATACGCCGTGCGAGCCGGGTCAGAGCGGCACTTTTTCGAGGGGCGGCGCGACGCCGCCCCCCCTCCTCCTCCAACGGACACTAAGTACAGGGGTGGGCAGAGGGGCTGCTGTACCTTACCTGGCTCCGGTCCCACGACGATCCGGTCCAGGAAGCGCGGCTGCTCCATCTTTCAGTTCGGCCGCTCGATGGTCACGCGGCCCGCTCGGCTCCGCCTCCTCACCGGTGATTGGGCGCCAGCACTGGAAAGGCACACAGGCGACCAATCACCGGCGAGGAGGCGGTGCCGAGCGGCCCCCGCGAAAATCAAGCGGCCGAACTTGAAGAAGGAGCAGCCGCTCCTCTCCCCCACTGACACTAACGATGGGGCACTATTCCTCCTCCCCACTGACACCAACGATGGGCACTGTTCCTCCTCCCCACTGACACCAACGATGAGGCACTGTTCCTCCTCCCCACTGACACCAACGATGGGCACTGTTCTCCCCACTGATACCAATGATGGGGCACTATTCCTCCTCCCCACTGACACCAATGATGGGGCACTATTCCTCCCACTGATATCAATGATCGGGCACTATTCTCCCCACTGATATCAATGATGGGGCACTATTCTCCCCACTGATATCAATGATGGGGCACTATTCCTCCCCCACTGACACCAATGATGGGGCACTATTCCTCCCCCACTGACACCAATGATGGGGCACTATTCCTCCCACTGACACCAATGATGGGGCACTATTCCTCCCACTGATACCAACGATGGGGCACTACTTTCGCTAACCACTGACACCAACGATGGGGCACTATTCCTCCTCCCCACTGACACCAACGATGGGGCACTATTCTATTCCCACTGACACCAATGATGGGGCGCAATTCCTCCCACTGACACTAATGATGGGGCACGATTCTTCCCACTGACACCAATGATGGGGCACTATTCCTCCCACTGACTAATGATGGGGCACTATTCCTCCCACTGACACCAATGATGAGGCACTACTCACTTCCCCCACTGACACCAATGATGGGGCACGATTCTTCCCACTGACTAATGATGGGGCACTATTCCTCCCACTGACACCAATGATGAGGCACTACTCCTCCCACTGACACCAATGATGGGGCACTATTCCTCCCACTGACTAATGATGGGGCACCATCATTGGTGTCAGTGGGAGAAATAGTGTCCCATCATTGGTATCAGTGGGAGGAATAGTGCCCCATCATTGGTGTCAGTGGATGAAATAGTGCCCCAATCATTGGTGTTAGTGGGAGGAGTAGTGCCCCATCATTGGTGTCAGTGGGAGGAATAGCACCCCATCATTGGAATACCATACTGAAATAGCATACCATATTGAAATCATATCTGATGTTTTTTCATTTGGTGTGCGTTGGAAGAGGGGTAGTCTTATACGGCGAGTATAGCTCAAACCCTATATTTTAACAGGAAAAGTAGGGGGGTCGTCTTATACGCCCAGTCGTCTTATACGCCGGAAAATACGGTATATAATAAGCACACATTGCATGTCAGCCTCTTGTAGTGCACTGTACAGCAGAGCGCTGACTGGGGGGAGTGAAAAGCAGCATAAGATCAGCTGGATGAGGTGGGGAAAAAAAGCATTCTAGCATGAAGAGAGATCAAAGTGACAGGGAAATGAGCTCATCATTTTCTGCTTTTCATTTACCGTACAGTCATAAAGTGGGAAGGAAACCTATACATATTACTGAACTACAGCAGAGAAAGATCATGTCCCCTCTCTTGCCAAATACAAGTGTGCTGTTAATCTCAGGACTGGATAGAAAATACTACAAATCCATTGGCAGGTAAAACAGCTTTTAAATGTATTTTATTTTAGCTTTTTGACTGGGGTTCAGTTTTAAATTGTAAATACAGTGCCTTGAAAAAGTATTCATACCCTTTGTAAGTTTCCACATTTTGTTATGTTAGAATCAAAAATGTAAATGTATTTTATGGGGATTTTATGTGATAGACCAACACAAAGTAGCACATAATTGTGAAGTGAAGGAAAATGATAAATGGTTTTCAAATAAATATCTGAAAAGTGCGGTGTGCATTTATATTCATCCCCCTTTACTCTGATACGCCCAACTAAAATCTAGTGGATCCAATTGCCCTCAGAAGCCACCTGTGTGTAATTTAATCTCAGTATAAATACAGCTGTTCTGTGAAGCCTTTAGAGGTTTGGTACAGAACATTAGTGAACAAACATCATCTTCAAGGCCAAGAAACACACCAGAGAGGTCAGGGATAAAGTTGTGGAGAAGTAGGGTTAGGTTATAAACAATATCCCAAGCTTTGAACATTGCACAGGGGAATGTTCAATCCATCATCCCAAAATGGAAAGAGTGTGGCACAACTGCAACCTACCAAGACATGGCCATCCACCTAAACTGACAGGATGGGCAAGGACAGCATTACTCAGAGAAGAAGCCAAGAGGTCTATGGTAACTCTTGAGGAGATGCAGAGATCTACAGCTCAGGTGGGAGAATCTGTCCACAGGACAACTATTAGTTGTACACTCCACAAATCTGTCTTTATGGAAGAGTGGCAAGAAGAAAGCCATTGTTGAAAGAAAGCCGCAAGAAGTCCCGTTTGCAGTTTGCAAGAAGCCATGTGGGGGACATATTAAACATGTGGAAGGTGGTGCTCTGGTCAGATGAGACCAAAATTGAACTTTTTGGCCTAAAAGCAAACCGCTATGTGCGGAAGAAAACGAACAATGCACGTCACCCTGAACAAACCATCCCCATTGTTAAATATGGTGGTGGCAGCATCAAGTTGTGGGGATGCTTTTCTTCAGCAAGGACAGGGAAGCTGGTCAGAGATGATGGGAAGATGGATGAAGCCAAACAAAGGGGAATCTTAGGAAAAAACCCGTTAGAGTCTGGAAAAGACTTGAGACTAGGGTGGAGGTTCACCTTTCAGACAACAACCCAAAACATACAGCCAGAGCTACAATGGAGTGGTTTAGATCAAAGCATATTCATGTGTTAGAATGGCCCAGTCAAGGTCCTGACCTAAATCCAATTGAGAATCTGTGGCAAGACTTGAAAATTGCTGTTCACAGATTTGTAAAAAAAAATTTTGAAAACCATTTATCATTATCCTTCCACTTCATAATTATGCACTACTTTGTGTTGGTCTATCACATAAAATACCAATAAAATACTATTACATTTTTGGTTGTAACATGACAAATTGTGCAAAATTTCAAGGGATATGAATACTTTTTCAATGCACTGTAGCTTATGTCTACAAGATTAGTGCATAATCAGTTTATATTTGAAAAATTGCTACTTACATTCTTGCTTAAATGTGAAATATTCTGTAAGGTGCCTGCATTCATGGTTTCCTCTCAAAAGAAAGAGTGTATTAGGGTAGAGAATCTTCAGAACCCATAAATATAACACACACTGTTAAAGATAGAAAAAGCAGATAATTACTGAAAACACAAATTCATTTTCTTAAAGGCAAAGGGTCATATGATTAGAGCAGCACTGAGTAGAGCTGGCCATAGATGGTTCAAAATCTCGACTGGTTCAGCAGGGACTGGCCGAGATTCGAACCACGTACGGGCAGGCTGAATGTACCCAAGTTGATTGATCAACTTGGGTACAACCAGCCTGTTGGATTTTACATGTGATTATTGCTAGCGGTTTTGCCGGGAGAACACAATAGCTCTGCGGTTGCAGAAAAGAAAATCACTGTCTTTGGCTGGTTTAAAGGACTTGTTCACACCAGGTACATAGAGCTGTGTTGATCAGCACTGACCTACACAGGCTCCAAGCAAGGACACACAAAAAAAAACAAGCATTACCATGAGAATTTAAACCTTGCTGTGTGGGGATATTTTTGTTTTCCCTGGAGATAGGCTTTAAGCTTAAAGAAGAACTCCGGGATAGGGAAAAAAAATTCACCTACTAGTACACACACTCACACAAAACAATAAACAGTTAATAACATTTTTAAAATCCTTATCATTTAGGAAAAAAAGTCTAATTGAATTTTCATGACCTCATCTCAGTAATTCAAAAGATAACAGCATCTGCTTTGCCAAGGAGGAGGTGTAACAGCAGGGATTACATCATATCCTCTCCCCTCTCTTTGCAGTAAAAGCAAACAACAGTTACCATCAACCTCAGGGAATTGTAGAGAGAATGTGGGCGGGTACACTAGGCCTGTACATGTTGAATGTGCCTGAGAGCCCTGGTCCGCTCACGACTGCAAAAGGAGCTGAATTACATCACTGTTTCCTGGAGAAAGAACTACAAAAGGGATGTGCCAAGACCAGTGGCTGGGGGAATAGGAGGCATAGCAGTCACTGGTCTTACAAACTGGAAATCAAAGGGAATAGTTCAATTTGAAAATGAATAGGCTATTTCAGAGCAACTCCTGAGTGAACCAGAAGATAATGGACATATTCAGTCAAGGTAGAAAATCAGCAACTTGGACATGTAAAGAATTGTTTGCCCGGAGCTCTGCTTTAATTTTGTAGCCAATGCAACGATGCTCTCAGGCTGGATTTACACTAATGCGGTACAGTACTTCGCATGTGATTCGCACAGGAACCGCACCGCACCGCATTCCTGTGCAAATCACATGCCATTTGTGCGGTGCGATTGGAGCCATACATTTTGTATGGCTCCAATCGCACCGCACCCGCACCAAAAAGGTGCAGGACCTTTTTTTGGGTCTGCACTAGAATCAGATCGCATGGGTATTCACACCTATGCAATCCAATTCTGCACATCGCACCGCATTTTGCGGACCGATTTCGGGCTGTTGTTAAATTAACATACACACCCGCATCGGTTCGCATGAACGGGGTGCGGAATTCTGGTGCGGTGTTCACACACAGAAATCGCTGCAAATTCCGCACCACATCAGTGTGAACCCAGCCTCAAATTGACACTAAACGCTGGTTTAAAAAAAGATATTTATGTAATCTTGACTCAAAAAAAGTTCCTTTAATTTCCCCACCTCCAAATTATTATTTTGTTTTCTTTTTTTGCCACTGATCTGACTTCCTGTTAGAGGTGGTTATGTAAATTTCCCATGGCTGCAGTAACTTTCTTGCTTGCTCCCAAGATTTGCAGTGTGCATAGAGTAATGCAACCACAATGATAGCAACTAACATGAACTAATTGTTCCAAACAAACCAAAGTAAAGTTGAAGGAGAAGTTTGAGAGCTTATGATGGATGTTGCAAGGAGGCAGGAAAACAAAGTAGGAAACAATTTCATGAAATATAAATTGATGTGTATGTATTATTTTTGGAGAAGAAGGATACTATACAATGTACTTTAAGGAGGAAGTATATATATATATATATATAGATAGAACGGCAATTTACCTCTATGCTAAAATAACCTCTGTCTACATAGTCCCCCAAAAAGAGGTATCTTGTGTTAGCTGGCGATCCCCCCACTTCAAATAACTTCATCAGGTCAAAGAACTGGCCATGAATATCACCACAAACTGAGGAAAAAATAGAAAGATAAAGTGAGTTTATTCATTAAAATACAACCCAAGCAAAAAACGAATAAGCAAAAGAAAAAATTGCACTTCTATTTTTCCTGGCTCTTTAAAGAAGACCCATGGTGCAAACTATGTGAGTAGTCTTGCTGAAATGAATAACTGAAAAGGAACAGAAAACACAAATGCAGCTTTAGGTTTCCAAAAGCCAAAATTTTTAGACACGTGTAGGGCTGCAACTAAGGATTATTTTCATAATTAATTAGTTGCCTGATTAGTGTTTCCATTAATTCTTTAAAAACCTCACTATGCCATTTTTTCTTTATTTAAAATAATTTAATGAACAAATGGAGTGCCTTGGAAGTCCTGAGACGCACACTTTTTTTCCGCAGTCACCTTGACAGCACTCTCTGCAAGTTTTATAATGTTTTTTGTTTTTGCAGCTAAAAGTAAAAAAAAGTGTGGTGAGGAATTTTTTAATTATTTTTATTAGTTTTTTTGATTTTAATACAAAACTATACAAAAGCTATTAAAGGTACTTAAAAAAAATACAGAAAGTCAAACATTACAAAGTTCAGGCCCCAACTGTACCCTAACAGAGAATTAAAGGTGCTCAACTGCCCATGGGCAGAAGTAAGATATAGCAGCATATAATCAAGGTACAATAGACGAATATTACTGGGGTAATACAGCAGCAGTGAGAAAACACACAGTCAATAAGTAGCTTAAACTCAACAGGCTTGCTAGATAGCAGAAGAGGATGTATTGGAACAGAGGATGAGAGGGGCATGTGGGGACAGCTATGATGTGTACCACAGAAGCCATTGGGACTGCAAAACCAGCTAGGTGAGAGCAATCAAGACAAAATGCCTGAATCAGAGGACTCAAGCCATAAGAACCAGATTTTGTTAAATTTGGCAGGGCATCCCCTGCTGCTATAAGCAGCTTTATAAAATGATATTGTAGAGTTTACTAAAATCTTCAACAGTCTAGAGTGAGGGGAACTAGGTCTTTCCACCAAAGAATGATCACCTTCCTGACATAAAAAGAGCAAGAGACTGAGTAGCGCTCTAGTGATCTTATGGATGGCCAGAGGCTCCACCAAACTCAGAAGACAGAACCCTCCCATCTTGGGGTATTACAATGCTGGTAAGATCAGTAATGTATTGTAATACCCTGGACCAGTAATTTGAGATTTCAGTACCAAACCAGCACACGTGCATAAAGTCAGCCGGGCATGAGAGTACCTCAAGCAATGGACAGAGTACTGGATAGAAATCGCACTCAGCTAGTGTAAAATAAACTCAATGTATCAATTTATATTGTATAAGTCTGTACCTGGCCACTATCAAGTGTTGGAATGGAAAATCCCAGACATCCTCCCAATCATTGTTATCTAAGGTTGAAAGGTCTCAAGTCCATTTCTCTCTGCATTTAAGTATTGCTGGGTGGGCAGGGTGCTGCAAGGCCTTGAAAATGCTGTAATGTGCTATAGGGAGGGACTCAGATCTCAGTAGAGACTCCAGCTCCATGAAAGAGAGGGTGATATTGTGGGGAGCCCACTGAGCAGTGCAAGCATGATGAAGCTGCAAAAAGTACCAGTTGGAAAGAGAATGCTTGCTTTGTAGTATCAAGAACCGCACCAATTTGGTTTGTTCAAATATATCCCCCTAGGGTCTTAATGCTCTTTGACACGCCCAGATTGCCAGCTCTGCTAAATTGAATAAATGTGACATAAAGGAGTATGAGTCGACGATTGATTGGATGGTGCATTATGAAGGAACCCAGTCCTATTCCAGCCCTGATTGTAGTTTCCATGGTGTGAGTGGGAAGGTAAGGAGCATGGCATCCCCTGTGGAGTAGCGATTTCAAGCTTCATACGACCCATGGGATACGGCTTTTGCAATAACCGCTGTGTTATTTCAGGGGCTTGTGAGCCAGTTATGAGTGCGAGAGCTGATAGCTGGCCAGCCAGAAAATATTGGGAAAAAATTGGGAGGACCAATCTCCCTGACGGGAGTGGTTGTTTCAAAATGGTTAAATCAAGTCTGGAAGATTTGTTGTTCTATAGGAAGGAAGTCATATGAGAATCCAGTTGTTTAAAAAAGGGACAGGGTAATCCAAACAGGGGTATATGATTAAATTAATCTTCCCTACAAGTAGTGGCATGGACCACCATACTTCAAATTTCTGCTCAGGTTTTTCCAAGAGAGGTAGAAATTAAGGAGGATAAGTCTGTTGGGTTGTGGAGACCCAAATCCCCAAGTATTTTACCTTTGTTACTCATTGAAGAGCGAAAAGTACAGTCTGGCATGTGATGTGTAATCTGGTTAATATGTCATGTTTTAAAAACATTATTCTTGAATATCTATATTCAGTAGTAAATATAAAAAACATCTATATGGTTAGGGAACAAAATATCTAATCCACTCACAGACTAAGGGAAGAGATACACTGTATATATTTCTAGAGGTTGAATCTGATACAAGATACATAAGATACAAAAAAAAAAAAAAATGCCTAAAACAATGTTTTGCAGATTTCCAGACAGAACTGTAAGATATTATGCAAAACAGACTATCTTGTCATAGACAAGTAGCTTGACTTGTCACTAATAAATTTAGAAGCAGCAGAATGCTTTTTGTATCACCTGTCATGATGAGGTTGAATAACAAAAATATCCCTTTATAGTCCAAAAACAAAAAATATCACTTCTATAAGGGGTAATTTATACTGTGAAAACAGTGAATGTGATAATATAAAATATAAAGATACCCAAAGTAGGATATACACATAGGGTCCCTCGAACTCAGTCAGAAGCTCTTCAACAACCCCCCCCCCCCCCCCCCCCCCCCCCCCCCCCCATGTTTGCTCAGTTTGGCTGGGCGACCAGCTCTTGAAAGAGTCCTAGTTGTGCTAAACTTTTTCCATTTGAGAATTAATTATAAAGGCCACTGTGCTCCTGGGAATCTTTAGTGCAGCAGACATTTTTTTGTAGCCATCCCCAGATCTGTGCCTTCCAATAATTCCGTCTCTGAGCTCTGCAGGCAGTTCCTTTGACCTCATGGTTTTTGCTCTGATTCAGCTGTGAAGCCTTTTATAGAGAGGTGTGTGCCTTTCCAAAACATGTCCAATCAATTTAATTTACGACATGTGGACTGCAATCAAGGTGTAGAAGCATCTCCAGCAATGATCAAGAGAAATGGGAGGCACCTAAGCTAAATTTCAAGTGTTGTTGCAAAGAGTCTGAATACTTACAATTGTGCGCAAAAGTTTGCATACCCTGGTTGAAATTGTGACATTTTGGCATTGATATTAAAAATCTGACTGATCATCCCAAAAAAAAACTGTATTTTATTTAAGGACAGTGATCATTTGAAGCCATTTATTATCACTTAGTTGTTTGACTCCTTTTTAAATCACAATAACAGAAATCACCTAAATAGCCCTGATCAAAAGTTTACATACCCTGGAATGTTTGGCCTTGGTACAGACACACAAGGTGACACACACGGGTTATTATGGCAATTAAGGATTAACGCCTTCCCGCTGACCACATGCATATATGCTGCCTCTTGGCATGAGGGCCTTAACGTGAGAGTATGCATACACAAAAAAAACCCATAACTATGGCAAGAGCGCGCACTGTGTGCACCCATGACACGGTTACCAGCAGCTAAGGAAAAGCTCCTGATCTCTACTTGCGACTGAGAGCTTTGTGATCATGTGACCGCTGTGACAGCCAATCACAGCAGTCACATGATCACAAAACCCGCCCTGTTTCCCAGCATCGAACACCCCTGTTAAGGGCCAGGAGGCGTTGACACCAAGGGGTTAATTTCCCACATCTGTGGCTTTTTAAATTGCCATTAGTGCCTGTGTATAAATAGTCAATGAGTTTGTTAGCTCTAACGTGGATTCAATGAGCAGGCTAGATACTGAGCCATAGGGAGCAGAAAAGAACTGTTAAAAGACCTGAATAACAAGGTAATGGAAATTTATGAAGATGGGAAAAACATAAAAAGATACTGAAAGACTTGATAATGCCAGTCAGTACTGTTTAATCAATTAGCGAAAAAATCAGGGATCTCTTGATACCAAGCCAAGTTTAGGTAGACCAAGAAAGATTGCAGCCACAACTGCAGGAAGAATGGTTTGGTATACACAGAAAAACCCACAGGTAACCTAAGGAGACATAAAGGCTGCTCTGGAAAACAATGGTGCGGCTGTTTCAATGAGCACAATACGACAACACTTGAACAAAAATTAGCTGCATGGTTGAGTTGCCAGAAAGAAGCCTTTACTGAGTCAATGTCACAAAAAAGTTCATGCAAGACGACCAAAAACTGCATGACCTGGAGGCCTTTTGCCAAGACAAATGGGCAATTATACCACCACTGCAATAATCCTCGGCTTCATAGACAACTTTTGCAAAAGACTGCACGGTATCATTAATGCCAAAGGGGGCAATAAAGAGTATTAAAAACTAAGGGTATGTAGACTTTTTAACGGGTCATTTCATTTGTTTACTTGTTGCTAAGTTTTCTTTTATGATTTTGCCATTCTGTTATGACCTACAGAATATGAATCCCATAAGGAATAAAAGAAATGCGTTATGCCTGCTCTGTCATGTTTTCTTTAAAATGATACATATTCTACAATACCAATTCTCCAAGGATATGCAAACTTTTGAGCACAACTGTATGGCAATGCGATATTTCAGTGTCTTCTTTTTTCATAAACTCAGACATTTCTAAAATTCTATTTTCACTTTGTCATTATGGAGTGCTGAGTGTACATTAATGAGAAAAAAAAACAATTTAACCCCTTGGCGCCAGCGCCTCCCGGCCCTTTAACCACCTCCTGCCCGCCATATAGTCCAATGAGGGGCGCAAGGTGGTTCTCTCGTTCTGAGAGGACATCATATGACATTCCTCCCATTCTCACCGCGCATGCACGGCTCAGGGAGCGCGCAGCGCGGCAATCGGCGATGCGCTGTGTCC